GTCTTTGCACTGGAAAAAATTCTGAGCCATGAAACAAGGTCCGAGGTGGGCAGGTATTTGGGTTCTTTAGAGGATTTAACTGTAGCCTATTTCTACCCCAGAATTGGCTCTTAAGGCTCTTAAGAGCATCTCTCTTATTTGCCTTCTAGTGACCAAGCACCATCCAAAAAGCAGGCAGCCTTGGTCTCCTGCAGTGTGAAGACAGTATCCAGATGCAGTAGGTCCTCTTCCAGGTACATATAAATGATGACGTTTCCCCAGGTGGTGGGGAGAATGACCAGACCAGGCAGGGGAGGCAGGTGACAGGCTACCCATCTTGATAGCCCTTCCCTCTAAAATATACAGTCTTGCATGTATCACTCAAAGTCCTACTTTAATTCCTGCCATTTCATAAATACTTCTGGTCATACAAAACTCATTGGCTTTCCATAGCAGACACAGTGGTACTGCTCTAGTAAGAAGTGAGGATGGACAGGTCAGGCCCCATATTCATGGAAGACCCTAACTGAATGTTAAAACAAAAAGGCAGTGTTTCCAAATCCAAGAGCTGTTTTGTACTTGGATGATGGAATAGTATCAGGAACTACATGGTATTTCCAAGGAAACTGGTCCCCAGTTTGAAAAACCTCAGTGACTTTGTTCCCCACAAACCACTTTCCAAATGGAGACTGTGAAGAAAGGGCCCAAAATGTCTGCAGACACATGGAAGACGCCCAGGCAGCAGCTAGTAGCAGCTCTAGGTCCTACTTACTGGGATCCTGGAGGAGCTGGGCTGCGATGGACACCCGGCGCCGCTCACCATTGGAAATTCCCCCAAAGTTGTAGTTGCCAATCAGTCGGTCCGCTACGTGGCTCAGACTCAGCTCTGCCATGACTGCCTCCACCTGTAGGAAACACAAAGTCCAAGAAGGCTGGTCACGGCTGTTCCAGTTCATGGGCTGAGGATGGCATAGGAGAGGCAACACACTTCCCTGGAGTGCTCGGGCCACTTTCAGACTCACCACATCCTGAAGAAAGCAAGCCTTTTACAATAAAATCCAACTTGGTTTAAATCACAATATAATACATGTGTCCAATTAAAATTAAATAATGTGAATTGTTTTAAAAAGTCCTTAGAGCAACAAAAAAGGCTTACATTTGCTTCAGGGAAATTGACCAGGAAACAATGGGGACTTCATTGGACTCCTATTTTCAGATGCTGCACTCAGTCCAGCCCATACAGAGAAATCCCCCAAAGGCATAGTTATGATACAGATTTTTTTTTAATGTTTGGTTTTTGAAACTTTATTATAATAAATGTTTTATATGTAAAAAAAAAATCCAATTTGGTTTTAAATAAGCCTGGTTTAAGTAACCCAAATAAGTGTTGGAGTCCCATGTGGTCCAGTGTCAGCGTGGTTTTGCATTAAAGAAATATAATCCAGCTATCAAAAGTAATTAAAAATACTGCCCTCTGCCGTGCCTTCACTCACTATGAGGGCCACTAAGTCATATGAACATGGCTATGCCTCACCTCCGTGGTGGGCTGAATTCTGACTCCCATCTTCTCAGACCACAATGAGGCTCAGGGGGACATGATGGAGCTAGAGGGCCTGGGTTCACATCCCAGCTCTGCCATTCCCAGTTGTCTGATCTTAATCTCCTTGGGTGTCAGGAGATAATGCCTCACAAGGTTGATGCCAGAATGAAATGAGATATTGTGTGTGAACAAGGTCTGACTGATGCCAGCCAGATACAAGAGCCCAGAGTATAATCTGCTAGAAGAGCAAGAAACGTGCAGTGCCTTCTGAGCACTATAAGGTAACCTCCAGCGAGGAAGCAGAGCTGGGCATCACTCTCTGAGGCTGATGGTCCTTCTTGAGGGCTGGGCCCCTTGCTAAGGCTCCTCTGGAGTGAAACCTATACTGCAGCGTTATCTAGGACTCTCAGACAGAAGAATGCCCCTTACTCACCCGGACATTACAACAAACTAGCCTGCTGTACTCAGGACACAGCTCAGACTTGGCTCCACTCTCTAAGTCCTCTCTGAAAGTCCAGTGCAAGGAACAAGATGAGCACATCCGTGGTGACAGGCTCAGCAGTGCCTGATAAGAATGGGGCAACTTGCTGCATCCTCAGCTGAGATGGAGGATTCCTCCGGAGCCTCAGTGGCATTAAAGAAAGGCCAGCCTCGGAGCGTGAACTGAAGATATAATTTGTGTGCCCAGCAGGCACCTTGCTGAGGCCTCAGGGTGGTAAAGCCTCTGAGGCAGAGAGATGTTGCTGGTCTCCTCTGGCAGCTCTGAGAGCCCATTTCCCAGGGAACTGTGTGCGCGTTCCCAGGGGCACACGTACCTGTCCTTGGTTCCCCGTGCATTCCCAGGCCAGGCAGAGATGAGGCAATGTTTCCAGGTAAAAAGAGTTTACTTGCAGCTACTTCCAAATTGGGTACATTTAAAGAAACAGATTGGAACCTAGAAAAAGTTGACAGTTCAAGAGTTCCTTCCTTCATTAACTTAATCCAGTTTGGATGAGGCACATTCAAGACGCCTCAAAGAAAGTTGAGAAAAAGCTCAACAGGCCTGCAGGTTGGAGCACAGTGGGAAAATAACCCTATCTATTCAAACACGGAACTCCTAGAACAGCGCCTTCCAAGAGAAATATAATGCAAGCCACCTACAGAATTTTAATATTTTAGTAGCCACATTTTAGAAAGTCAAAAGAAACAAGTGAAATTGATTTTAATAATATAATTTTTAAACCCAATGCAGCCAAAATATTATTTCAACCTATAACCAATATTTTAAAAATTATTAATGAGATATTTCACCTTCTGTTTTTTCAGACTAAGTTTCTAAAATCCCGTGTGTGTTTTACACTCTTAGCGCATCTCAGTTGGACTAGTCGCATTTCAAGTGCTCAAAGCCATATGTGGCTAGTGGCTGCTGTAAGACAGGGCAGGTCTGGACTCTCAAGGGGTGAGGAGTGAAGCGGAGGCATGGGCAAGCGGAGGGAAAAGGAGGCGATCCCTGCGGCAGCCTGGCCCCGAGCGCAGGGCCGCTGCGAGGACAGGTGACCCACCTTCCTCTGGAAGCAGCCGCGGGAGCCGCCGCGGGTGGCCAGCAGCGCGGTGTAGCGCAGCGTCTCGCGCACCGTGAGGTTGCTCAGCAGAGTGTTGCTCTGCGGGAGAGGCAGGTGTCAGCGTCGCCCGAGACCCCGGGCCACGGCGGGCTGGGGCTGAGGACGCGCCCACCTGCAGGACGTAGGAGAAGCAGTCCTGGAACTGGTCCCTGCGCAGCGCGCGGCCGTTCACGCACACCTCCCCCAGGAAGGTCCCCTGGCGCCGCAGCCTCCCGGACATGGCGTCCAGCAGCGTGCTTTTCCCCGAGCCTGGGGGCGAGAAGAGAGGGCCGCGGAGGAGTAGCTCCATGAGGCACCGCAGGGACGTCCCGAGACCTTGGGGGGCCTCCGTCCAGCCCTGCCTTGTTCTTTCTTTAACCTCATGGGTCAAACTCTCATGGCACGAATGAGTCTTTCCGGCTTGTCCCCTGAGTGAGAGAGGGACAAGCCATTTCTCTCATCCCAGTCAGGACTGGAGGGGCTTTGTCTGCCTGCTTATGTGTTTTTAAAGCTATTTTTAAAGCAGAAAATATAGGATCAGAATAAAAGGAAAACCAGGGTTCTTAGAAACGTTTGGATCTAGGACGTCTGAATTTCTTTTTGTGTCCTTCTGGGATTGTCTGGTGGTTCCTGAAAGTAGGGGACACTGCCTAGACCCTCACTTATCAGGTGTGGTCTGAGGACCCGCCGCATCAGCATCCCCTGAGCACTCGTGAGAAATACAGAATCTCAGGCGCCGGCCCACACCTACTGAATCCGATTCTGCTTTGTAACAAGATGGGTGGGTAATTCCCATGCATATTAGAGTTTGAGAAGCGCTAGCTTAGCGGGTCCTTTGGTAAAAACCCACTTGGCCTCAGCCTGCACTGAGAGCCTTGGATGTAACCCAGCTGGTTGTCACTAAGAACTTTCCCACAGAGGCGTTGTGGTGAACTAACTGCCTGGCGCTGAGGTGAAGGGAGGCTGATGTTTCCCCTGCCTTGTTTTTTCTAGGGTTAGAGGTTAAGTGACACCTTTAGGATGAGACACCAGCTGGCCCCTCCTGCCGTACTGGACACAAGCTGACATGGGCCCAGAGGGTTAATGGAGACAGGAACAGGCGTCACCAGGCTTTTCCTATCCAGGGCTGCAAAGAAGTTAGAATTAATAAAAGAGGAAATAGGCAGGAGGTTCTGAACTGTCTGCAAAGATAGCAAGACTGAGGATGTGATAACTTGTGCAAAAGAAGATCTTTTGTTCAAATATTTTAAAGAAACTGCTCGTTGCTGTGAGAGGTACAAAGATGAATAAACCAAGCTCCACTAGCAGTTGTCTTATTATGTAATCCATGACTGACAAAGCTCAGAATTAGCCCCAACGTGTTCAGGTAGAGGTCAGCGCGGGGAAGAGAGGAGAGTGGCTGTAAAGAAACGAAATGTGACTTCACTGGGATTGTCTTTCAAAAATGTGCCCTGACATTTCCCAGTCACAATACTAAGCCTTGTGTGTGCTTCTTCTAACTAGAAGCCTCTCTGGCCTTACGTTCCTGGGATCCAGTCTCAACTCTGACAGAAACTCCAAATATCCTGTAGCCTGGATTCTAGTCCCATCACTGTGTCAAAACTGGCCTCCTTAAGGTCATCAAGACTACTTCCTTGTTGCCAAATCCTGTGGGCACCTCCCTGTTTGTTGTTTGACCTCTTGGCAGCATGGTACTGCTGCTTGCCCTTCTCTGTGAATTTCTCTCCCTTGCCTTTGATGCCACTTCATCCTCTTGGTTTAATCCTGCTGGTCTGGCTGCTCCTTTCAGCCTCCTGTGGGTGACATTCCGGGTTCTCTCCCGGGCCTTCTGCTCTTCTCATGTCACACATTCTCCCTGGGCAACAGCGAGCACCAACTTGCTAGCCAGCATGTGAGGGAGCCATCTTGGAAGTAGATTCTCCAGCCCTGCTCAAGCCTTCAGAGGACTGCAGCCCCAGTTGACTTTTGACTACAACTCCACGAGAGACCCCAGACAGAACTACCCACCAAGTGACTCCCAAACTTCTGACTCCTAGAAATTCTGAGACATAATAAATGATTTTTATTGTTTTAAGCCACTTAATTCTAGGATTTTTTTTACATAGAAATAGATAGCTAATATAGTCTTTTTTTGAACATGTGTCAAATATTTATTAATTCATTAATGAAGGAACCAGCAGGATAAGAAAACTCATTCAAAAAAGGATATAAGAAATTGAAATGTATAGTCAGTGGAGAATAGAAGGTTGGAATAAGTTGCAAAGTTAAACACAAAAATGGTTAATAGCCTAGGATATGACACCACCAGTGCAGGTAACAAAAGAAAAAATAGACAAATTGGACTTCATAAAAATTTTAAAATTTTGTGCATCAAAAGATACAGAGTAAAAAGACAACCCACAGAATGAGAGAAAATATTTGTAAATCATATATCTGATAAGGGATTAATATCCAGAATATTTAGAGAACTTCTAAGATTCAACAACAAAAAACAAACAACCTGATTCAAGATTGAGCAAAGGACTTGAATAGACATTTCTCCAAAGAAGATATATGAATGGTCAATAAGCACATGAAAAGATGCTCAACATCACTAATCATTAGGGAACTGCAAATCAAAACTGCAGTGAGATACTACCTCACACCCATTAGGATGGTACTACAAAAAAAACCCAAAAAATAACAAATGTCGGCGAGGATGTAGACAAATTGGAACCCTGTGCACTGTCAGTAGGAATATAAAATGGTACAGCCACTGTGGAAAACAGTATGGCGGTTCCTCAAAAAATTAAAAATAGAATTACCATGTGATCCAGCAATTTCACTTCTGGGTATATACCCAAAAGAACTGAAAGCAAGGTCTCAAAGAGCTATTTGTACACTCTTGTTCAAAGCAGCATTATTCACAATAACTAAAATGTGGAAGCAACCCAGGTGTTCATGAATGGATGAATGGATAAGCAAAATATGCTATATATATATATACAATGGAATATTATTCAGCTTTAAAAAAGAGGGAAATTCTAGGGCTGGCCCAGTGGCGTAGGGGTTAATTGTGTGCTCTGCTGCGGTGGCCTGGGGTTCATAGGTTTGGATCCGGGGTGCACACAGACACACCGATTGTCAAGCCATGCTGTGGCGGTGTCCCATATAAAGTAGAGGAAGATGGGCACGGATGTTAACCCAGCGCCAATCCTCCTCAGCAAAAAGAGGGCTAAGGTCTAAGGCCTATTAGCTCAGGGCTAATCTTCCTCACCAAAACAAAAAAAAAAAAAGAAAATTCTGCAGTATGCTACAATATGGATGAGCCTTGAGGACATTATGCTCAGTGAAACAAGCCAGTCACAAAAAGACAAATACTGTATGATTCCACTTGATGAGGTAGTTAGAGTCGTCAGAATCATAAAGACAGAAAGTGTAGTGGTGGTTGCCAGGGGCTGAGGGGAGGGGAGAATGAGGAGTTATTGTTTAATAGGTATGAAGTTTCAGTTTTACAAGATGAAAAGAGTTATAGAGCTGGATGGTGGTGATGGTTGCACAACAATGTGAATGTATTTAATACCACTGTACCGTACAGTTAAAAATGGTTACAGTGGTAAATTTTATGTTGTGTATATTTTACTACAGTAAAAAAAAAAAAAAGAAAGGTTAATGCCCTACAGGGCAATGAAACCACGACCTTTGGGGTTATCTTTTCTAAAAGGACAGAAATCGTTTGTAACTAAATAGTCTTCTGCTAGGGAGTGTGCAGCCCAGAGTCTGCATCCTAATTGAGAGCAAATAATGAGTCAAATAAAGTTATCTTCCCCTGGAGTGTTGGGTGACCCTAGGCAGGCTTGCATTAGACCATGCTCTAAAGAATTTTGAACACCTAAGTCATCTTTTGCCTCACTAATAAAGATTTGAGAAACAATGCTGTTTTAGATAAGACATCAGTGAAATCATGTCATTTTATGAAACACTAAGAGTAATTCATAGAATTGATTTTTTTTTACTCACTGATTCAACAAATATTTATTAAGCACTTACTACGTGGCCAGCCCTGTTCTAGTTGTTGAGGATACAGCAAGAAAACAAACAAAACAAATACAAAGTTCCTGCTCTTGTGGAACATGCAGTCTACTGTGAATTCATGTTCAGTGTCAAAGGATGGACATTGTTATAAAACTGTCATTAGGTATCATCAGAAACCAGCCCATGAGCCCCCAGATCAAGAACCCCCACTGTCCTGCTGAGAGGTGCATGCAGCATGACATTGGCCTGTGGAACACACTTCTGAGAAGGTGGGTTCAATTCCTTGTTGTGTGCTATACGCCACGTTTTTTTTTTATCCTACTCAAGGAAGGCAACAAGTGACAGATTATTACAGGAATAACTCAGCATTTTTTTTGTGTGAGGAAGAGTGGCCCTGAGCTAACATCTGTGCCCATCTCCCTCTATTTTGTACGTGGGACGCCGCCACAGCATGGCTTGATGAGCTGTACGTAGGTCAGCGCCCAGGATCCAAACCCGCGGACCCCGGGGCCACCGAAGCAGAGTGCACGAACTTAACCACTACACCACCAGGCCGGCCCCAGCTTTTCTTCTTTTTAAAGAAGTATGTTATAATTATCAAAAGGAAAATTAGAATGACCCTAAATGTTCTGATACACGCATAGAGTTAGAAATGGTTAAAAATGAGAAATGAGAACTGACAGGAAATCTCAGGAAAGTGTAACCATTTTAGTCAGTGCATTCCTTTTCATTTAATCTTAACTACACCACTATCGCCATCCAGCTGTACCACCCATTGTAGTAGAGGAATGATTTTGGATTTAACTCCCCAGGTCGAAAGAGGCTGACCATGTTTCACTTTCTTCACAGACTTACACTAACCATCTCTATTAAAGAGAGTAACGCAAGTGGAGAGTGGCAGTAAGTGTCAACAATTTGCTAGCAAGAACTCAATCGAGAGGCTCCTGTGAAGGCAGTGTGTCAGAATCTTTCAACCTGAAAATGTGCAGGATAACCTAGTGTGGTGGACACTGGTGTGCCACACAGACTGCCTCTCAGGGCCAGGCACCCATCCAGCTGCTGAGGATTCCCAGCTGTGACCCTCACAGGGCATTGCCCTCAGCCACATGGAGCTGCCTGGTCGGAAGCTACCCACCCCAGGTCAATGACTGGCTGGTGCAGGGACACAAAGACAGACACTGAATTCAGGCTCAAGTGTAGTTACCCCGGGAAAGAAGAGGAGAAGGACGAGGGGGGAATGGGCACATAGCCTCAGTGGAATCTGTAACATTTAATTCCTTAAAAAAAAAAAGGATCTGAAGCAAATATGGTATAATGTTAAGACTTGATAGAATCAGGTGCATGAACATTCTTTGTTATTCTCTATTCTTACCTGTGTGTTTGAAAAGCAGCATAGCATCATAATAAAATAGGACCAATGGATATGGGGGCTAAATGGACATCTCTGTGCTTATTTAATTCCTTTTTCTGTCTCTGGGCAGGGTCCAGATCAGGGGACTGGTGTTTGCTGAGCACCCCCATATGCCAGGCACTGTGCTGGGTGCTTTCCATACTTGGGAATACAAATTAACTTACATGTTAGACAGGACTTCATTCTTTTTCAAGGATCTTTCTAAAGGTTTCACATTAGTACCAGGGTCCATTCACAGACATGTCATTAGATGTCATTCTAATTTCCAACTTGTGGCCTTCTTGCTACGCTTAAATCCCTTTCCTCAACGTGGTCTTCAAATCAAGGCAAAGCCTTTTCTGAGTTCTCACTGAGAATTTCAAGCACTCCTTCCCCAGCTTACCTGAGCTCCCCAGGATGCACACGAGCTGCCCGCTCTCCACATACAAGGAGACTTCTTTGAGGATCTGCCTGTCCCACCGCTGCCAGGAAGATGCAGTGTCCCACCAGGGCCCGACGTGATAGCTTTAAAGGAAACCCCGTAAGGGGAAAGGCAGTGTGGGGTCTTGGAAGGGGAGACCCTTGTCCGCCAGCACTGATCCCAGCTCTGCTCCACCCCAGTTGTCTCTGGACAGGCTCCTGAGTGTGTTTTAGCCTCAGTGTCCTCCTCTGTAGACCCGGCGGGTAGTGATGGAAGAAGATCCTCTATGTGAAGCCCCTGCCCAGCAGCTGCTCTGAGTGCCAGCTCTCTTTGGCTGGCTGGGAGATGACAAAAAAGACACCGTTTATTCCTTCTGTTGACCCTGCATTCCTTCACCAGGTTTCATTACACCTCGTGTTTCAAACACCCCCGTTCCCCAAGCCCTCTCCATCCACACAGGGCAGGTTGTACACAAGGGGGACTCAACGGCAAGGAGAAAGGGGCACAAAGCAGGGGCACAAGGCAAAGCACAGCTGCCACCCTTGTCATAGCTCCGGGGTTCTGCCATGGGCAGGGGGAAGGGCCACTCACTGTTGCTCCTCATTTCCCACTGGCAGCCCTTGCCCTCTCCTCTCTCCACCTCGATCCGCTAAGGAGGGAGCCCAAAGCCTCCATGCCTGCCCCCCGTTAGTGGGGAAAGCCAGCAGAGGGGGTGAGAGGCCCACTCACCTCGGGCCATGCCCATCCCTGACCACAGCTCAGAGCTCCCCGCAGGCAGAAGAGGCGTCGGCCTTACCTGACGCTGTAGGAGGCATGGAGGATGCCCAGGCTGTGTCGAGGCTTTGAAGCAGCTGCAGGAACCTCCTCTGAGGAGCGCTGGGAGCCTCTGTTTGCTTGGCGTCCCAAGGACCCAATGGGGGTTGAAAATGAGAGTTCACTCATGGCCAACAGGCAGCAAAGACAGGCAAATTTTTTGGTGCCTGCCCTTCCCTGGAGAAGCCAGCTGAGCAACTAGCAGCAGACTGCCCCACCTGCTCCTCGCCTGGCCCCAGCGTCCTTCCTCAGGCCTTTCCAGCAGCGGGACTGGCGTTTGGCCATGGATGCCATTATCTGATGTACCTTTAGCCAGAGCGTGTGTACTATCTTGGCAGGAGCAAAACACACAGCCTGTGTTTGTAGGAGGGCCTGCCAGAGAGAATGCTGGGAGACAGACGGTGACCCCAGTGAATGAGGGCCAGAGGTTGGCCAGCTCTGGGAAGCAGAGAAAACATTGGCCCTGACAGGCAGCAGCTAAGGTCCAGAGAAGCTGCAGCAAAGGGGCGCAGACACTGCTAGGCCCCATGGCTGAGAATGCCCCGGAGGAAAGGGGGCTGCAGATTCCCCAGGATGCTTCGGTGAGTGATGGGGAGTCGCCTGAGTGCTGGTGGATGGGGGCAAATCGAACCTTTCTTTCTTCCCTCAGGAACTTTCTGTCCTAACTCACCACCAGGATCACAAACAAAGTGAGAAGGAGGCAGCAGGACTCTATTTCTTGGGCATCAGAGGGCTGAGGGGAGTGGATTCGGGGGTCAGGGGTTGGTGGGGAACCCTGCCCTGAGGTACGGTCCTGCAGGGCAATGATGTTCTTGCTTGTGACTTGGGCTGTTGTAACTTTTTCCAAATGAGACTCCACCACAGAAATGTGCACACTCATACCAGGGACTCTGCGGTGTCTCCTTTGTCCATCTGGCTGTCAAGCTCAGAGTCTCCAGTGGCAGTAAACTGATGAGGCAGGATGGCAAGCAACTTTTGTGGGAACATCAGAATTTATGCTCGTACTATGGCTACAGCAGGCAGTCATAAGAACCCGGAGAGAGCTGGAAGGAATAGACGACAGCTAGAGGTCGAGAGGTTGGGGCAGGGTTTCTGCCCTCATTTTACATGGGGAATGTTTACTTGAGAAATGGCCTTGGTCTGATATAGAGGTGTGGGTGGGATTTGAAGCAGGAGGTTAAATTGGAAGATGGAAAAGAAGCAGATCCCTACCCTCCACCCCACCCCACCCCACCCCTCCTTTCTGTCTTTGCCTGCTGCGGGGAGGAGAAGAGAGAGAAAGAGAAGAGTGGCTGAGAACTCCACACCCCACAGGGAAGGCCACAGGCCACCTGGACAGGCCTTGAGTTGCTAGGACCTGACTTCAGGCGGGCCCAAGGAACCCACCATTCCTGGTCAGCTCAGCAGCCTCCGCAAATGACCAGCTCTGCTCTGAGAATACCCCACAGGGCCAATCCCCGATGGGAAATGACTCCTAGGAGCCGTGACTGCAATGCTCACAATCTGAGTAGGATATAAAGTCAGTGGAGGCTTCTGGGACACTTGCTGCCCAGAAGGTCTGACCAATCAGCCACTGTAGCTCAGGAGGAAAGAACTGCCCGAGCCCAACATCCAGGAATGTGTGCAGAAATGCCTGCATTTCCCATTTCCTTTTCTTCAATCCTGTTACTCGAGATGCCAAGCGACAGTCTGCCGCTAACATTTATGGTTCCTTCATGAGAGGATAAAGGCTACGTATCATATGTCTACATATTTAAAAATTATCAATCAAGCTAAGAACTATTGAATAAAATTGTTTGTATCCTCTTACCTTGACGTACCTTCCTCACAACTTGGAAGGCCAGGTGTAAATTCAGAAATTCTAGGACGGCAGCTAGAATGTAGTGGCATGAGAGAGCTGCCTTCCAGCCCAAGCCACAGCCTGTCCCCCTTCTCTGCCCACCCCCAGCTCCACATGTGACCTCATACACCCCTACGTGGTCACCCCATCCTGCCCACATTCCATCCACACCCTCCACAGACAAACGCCCCTGTAGCCTGAGGTGCCCAGTCAGGCAGTACCATCATTGCTCAGGAGGGTGGGCCTGGGACCAGGTTCACTCAGGCCCTGGGAGCGGGGCTTGCAGCCATTCGCACAGGGAATTCTGGGGTTGTAGGTACCTGGAGTGGCAAGTGCCTTTGACCAAGAGAGATCCCTCAGTTCATGGGCAGGAGCATGGCCAGAGGAGGACAATAGGTGCACAGGCCTCAGGGCAGAGCTGTGTGAGATCTGCTCTGAACATTCTAGCAAAGGCCTAGGCTCTCCCCTCAGACAGGAACAAGCCCTGCGTGTTTCCCCAAGCGGGAGTCCTCAACACGTCACTGCTTCTCCGGGGCACGGGCTCCTCATCTTAAAACAAGGAACTCAGACTCTGTGCTCCCTGAGTTTCCTTCCACTCTAGGCTTCTGACTCAGGAATTTGATCTGAAGTTAATACAAGGAGAAATTACAGTGTAGCCCAGCAGGAGCTGAGCTGGGTACCTACAAATAAACCTGCTTTTGCTTTTTTGGGTGTCACCTGTCAGAAATTCAAGAGATGTTCTGACAGTCGTACTGATTAAGATGTCAGTCAAATAGATACTTAAGTATTTGAAAAATACAGAGAGTTTGTCAAAACCTCAGGAAGAATCTAACAAATCCATCCTGGGAGCCAAGGAAAATATTTCAAAATGGAATAGAGGCTGCCCCCAACCCAGCCAAGAATTCTCTTCCTCTGAAAGTGGAGCTGTCTGTGCAGCTTCCGGAAGACACAGCCTCTTGATGTGGCTGGGGTCCCAGGCTGGCCTGCACCTGCCTGCTCAGCCCAGGGTGAGGGGGGCCAGGGGGAGCCAAGGAGCCGGGAGCACGCACTTCTCTCCTTCCTTTTATCTGTCTTCCAGTTCTGACACGTTTTTTCCCTGGGCCCCAGCACCTTCCACCTTCTCAGAGGTCCTACCCGAAAAGTGGAACCCACCTGGGCTTGAGGTCACCTCCACATATTGCTCCAGACTCCACAATGTCCAACCTTCTTTCCTCAGCAACACCTCCACCCCAAACCCTAACCTGGGGAGCTTTTGGCCAGGCGTGTGTTCATGGAAGCAATTTCTGAGCTAACTCTTCTCAAATACCAATTGACTAATATCCCTCCTGCAGATATTTGCTTTTTAAAAACAAACAAGTAGGATGCATGTTAGCCCAAATAAGTCTCTCAGCAATTGATAGAATTTCTGATAGTTTAACAAAATTAAATGGAAAAACTAGGTGGTGTGTGTGCTGGTCATGGATGTGGGGAGGGAGGGTCAGGGCCACAGGGCTGACCCGTCAGAATCCAGCAGCTCTCTGAGCTGCTCTTGCTCTCCCCAGGAGCTTCGTTGTCCATCTCTGAGGGCACAAACTCTCTCACCTCCTCCACCTCCACCTCTGGCTCCTGCCTTGGAAGCACTGGCAGCTGGGGGTCGAGGTGGGGGCAGAACCCTGGAATTCTATTCATGGGGGCTCGCTCTCTCAATTGGAAAACATATTTGGAAATATTTCAGACAAATCTGTTTAAAGAAGAGTGAGCTCCCATGTACTCACCACTAATTACCAAGAGCTTTGAAGACCAGCCCCCTACTACCCCCCAGGTATGCCTCTCTGTTCCCCAGAGATAGGCCTTCTGCCGAATTGGGGTTTTATCTTGCCCATGTATAATTTGGGATCTTTATGGTAATAGTTCAAACATTAAACAAGTTACGTAGCTCTGGTCTGCTGTTTCCATACTCTCCTGGGACTCTGGGGGCTACTCACAGGGGGCGTGCAGCTGACTATCACCTATGTTTATTTCTCTCTACTTTTGTTGAACTGGAGTGTCCTTTCCAAGGACCTCCCACCTCCACCATTGCAGGCAAAGATCGTCAGATGTTCATTTCACATAAGTCGTGTTATTTGCACACAAAGCACATGTGGGCACTGTGTACACAGTGAAAATACACCCTGATCGGATGCTGAAGGTCAGCCTGCCTCTACGCCTGGCCTGTCTTGCTCTGTCTTAACCACTTCTCTCCTCCACTAAAATCTAAGCTTCTCAAACACTATCTTTGTCACTGTCATATCCCAAACTTCAAGCCTGAAGTGTGATGTGGGCTCCCAATAAGTGTTTGTTGGATTCTTGCTTGACTGATTGAAGGAACGCATCAGTGTGAGAACGGCAGCTCTGCGGGGAGAAGACCAGCATCAACAGGAATTTGTTAATGAATATATACTCTTCCTGCACTAAGAAACAGAAGAAAAATTGAGTGCATTAGAAAACAGAAAACTTACTAGGCAATTTCTTTTTTTGGGGGGCCTCAATAATTTAAATGATTGAATTGATAAAATAGAAGGAATTCAGACGTGCAGATGGTTAGTACCATTCAAGGGTATCAGCTGATACCATGAAACATTGATTTATTTGATATAGCGCTGTTCCAACAATAGCAACAAGATGATGATGGTGATGATGATGATGCCAACGATGATGATGACAGTGATGATGATAATTGGACTTCCTCTGAAATCTCCCAACAGCATTTTGAATGGTTTTGTTGTGCAAAACTCCTCATTAAAATAAGATGCAGGGCCGGCCCTGTGGCTTAGCGGTTAAGTGCATGCACTCCGCTGCTGGCAGCCCTGGTTTGGATCCCGGGTGCGCACCGATGCACTGCTTCTCTGGCCACGCTGAGGCCGTGTCCCACATACAGCAACTAGAAGGATGTGCAACTATGACATACAACTATCTACTGGGGCTTTGGGGGAAAAATAAATAAATAAATAAAATTAAAAGAAAAAAAAATAAGATGCAACTTTTCTAAGGATAGTGTCTTCCAAATATTGAGCATTAGCTTTATTTATTTTTTTTGGTGAGAGAGATTAGCCCTGAGCTAACATCTGTTGCCAATCCTCCTCTTTTTGCTGAGGAAGATTGGCCCTGAGCTAACATCCATGCCCATCTCCCTCTACTTTATATGTGGGACGCCTGCCACAGCATGGCTTGATAAGCGATGCGTAGATCCACACCCAGGATCTGAACCTGCGAACCGTGGGCCGCCAAAGCAGAGCGCGTGAACTTAACCACTATGCCACCAGGCCAGGCCCAAACATTAGCTTTTTGATAGCTTTTTTCCTCTCTCATGCTGGGTATGTAAAGTCTGTTTGGCATTAGGAGATATTAAGC